TTTTCAATCAAGAAAACTTGAGTTTTGATTTATTTCAATTTTGTGGGCTTTGATAAGGGTAGGATCTCTCTATGAGGTGAAGATCATCTTGGCAATCACTTTTAAGGGAAGAACTAATTAGTGCAAGGTTTAATAAAATTGCATAGTCATAGTGTTTTCACAAGTTTTCTTGTGTAGTATTATTTTATAAATTGTATTCGATATTTCGGATTTTGGAAGAATGAGATTGGAAAGGGGTTGTCCCCATTTTTGGTGCATGAGAGCTTTGGGCTCCTCCAAATGGTAAAATTTGACATAATTGATGAATTTGCATGAAAGTAAATAATGGGTAGAAAGTAGATTTTGATTTGGATGAGATTTTAAAAAGATTTAGATTGAAAATATATTGAAAACTGTGGATTTCTAAGACCAGCATATACGCTATAAGAGGAAACCATCCTCAGTTTCTGTGATTATAGAGTTTGAGTTTTCGCTTTAATTTCAATCAAGGTTTTTTCTTTTTTTTAGTTCCTTTACCTTGGGAGTAGTGGTCAATGATACCAGAAATGTTATATTACTTATTCATGCCATCTTGACAGAGATTAGTAGTTACTATAGATAAGTTTTCGTTATTTGTGATTGTAGATGGTTAAAATATATTTTCTATCTAGGCCAACATTTAGCTTGGATCAAAAAGTGAATGCCCATGGGATAAACACTTCGAATGAGCCCAAAACTGAGCCCACAACAAGCTGTAGCGAACGTTGCTTGACAAAGCAGGCGAACCTCGTCACGCAGCCCAGATTGACTCAGCTCGACCAAGTCAAGAACGAGTCAACTACCAATTCACGCCCCAGGCCGAATCTAAAGGGTTAATTAGTTGACCAGATCATGAGTCAAATTCTGTGTCAAATTTAAACTCATAGATGAAGTTCGCCAGCCAACGAACTTCACTGAAGACAACCCAAGTGGACCAAGTCATTCACAATTCTGAATAAGGCTCACCCCACATCAGCAAGGTAAGCCTCACCGAAGATAGCCCAAGTCCTGCTAAAGGCAAAACAAACTTCACCCCAAGCAAGTCCAACCTCGCCGAAGATAGCTCTACCTTCGATGGACTAGCATGAACTTTACCAAGAGTGAAGACAACTCCAGCTTTGCCCACAGCAAGGCGTGCCTCACCAACCTCAACTTCGCCAAAGGCAAAGCAAACTTCACCGAGAGCAAGACAATCCTCTTTGAAGACAGCCCTAGCTTCGCTCAAAGCAAAATGAGCTTCGCCTCGAATGAGGTCTTAGCGACCCTCACCCTAAGCGAAGGTTAGGATATTTAGACATCTCTCTGATTGGACATCAGTCCATAACCCCTTTGGGGGGTTTGCTTTAAAGTATCTTATAACGCTTAGCTTGCTTCCTTAATAGAAACAAAAAATGGGGATTACCCTCCAATTAAACTCCCAAAAGGGAAAACTTTCGCCCATGGAAATTCTAAGTCTTATTCACAAGTTCAAGCTTGTGATGAAGTCACAATTGGCCATGACAGTCATAGGTCAAAGCAACATCATCTTAGACAATGTTATAATGCCAAAAGCCAGCCCAATGAAGTTGCTTTCAAGAAGAGCGATAGCTGCATCAAGGAGATATGTATGTCTCTATCTATCAAAGAGTTTTTATTTATCTGTCTAAGCACATTCCCCAAACCTTTAAAGTTTAGGGGCAAATGGTGATAGTAATCTTGCAAGAACAAGGCTGCTTTCGACCTTGATCTCCAAGAGTTCACGGTTAATATGACCGATGTAACCTGAGAAGATGATGACAAAACATCAAATCTAGAAACCAAAGATGTCTATCGCAATACTAGATCAAGACAGGGGGTAGCTATCCCCTTTGACTACTCTGTTCTGAGGTCATCTGTTCAACAAACTCCTTTTTAGTGATCATCCTTTTGTTAGCGACGGCAACTCCTCCATAGCATCAAACGCAATCCCTAGTTCAAGTAATGAATGACAATGGGAAGTATATGTGATGGACCGAGAAGATCATCTTGGTCAAATGGCAGCTCAAACGAGAGATTCAGATGAGGGAATAAAACTTTTGGAAAAAAATGCGTTAGTAACTCTTATAAGCATCTCAGCCTCAACCAAGCTCTTCAAAGGGAAAAAGCCGATCAACAAATCCTCTCTAGATGGAAATCATGTGTATCAAGATGATGCAGATTCGGACCATTTGGGATCTAAAACGTCAGCACCTCCGATGCCAAGCAAGGAAACAAATGCCTTGGATGACATTAAAAAACAACTCAATATTCTTTCTCAACGAACTGAGCTCAAGAAGGTTGGAATTACCAAACCTTACCCCATCAAGTGAGACGTGGTTCCCTGTCCAATAAAAATTCAAGAGGCCAACCTTTCAAACTTTGGGCAAACCAACATATCTACTACTTTCATCAAAAAACTGAGAATGTAATGGGTAACAATGCTATTTAGGTGCGGCTTTCTATTTGCACCCTCTAGGCAGTAGCCTTTGATTTGTTCCAGAATTTACTCGAGGGTTCAATCAAATTATGGGGCGGACCTATAATTAAAGTTCCTCTCACAATTCCATGAGTAACAATCTGATGCTACTATGGTCAAACTCCTTTCTGAAAAGCAAGATGAAAATAAGACGGTTAGGGAATTCATTGAAAGATCTAAAATCTGACATTGTAATGTTGAGATATGCCTCTGCCGATGTTACTTTAAACTTGTCTACATAATTTTGTGGGATGGATAGAAGCCTACATGGATGCTATTACAGCTCACACATGGAAGGATTTGATGTAACAAGCTGAGATAGCAGAAAAATTATTAGAAATTTTAACAAGTTTGAGCCCGACGCTAACTTTAAGGGCACCAAAGGTAAGCAAGGGAAAACTTCCTAGTTGAAAGCCAAAGAGGCTTTCACAGTCGAGGTCCAAAATCCCAGCAACCAGAAAAGGGAACCAAGGAAGAATATTCAACATATTTATTCTTTTAAAGATGAATATACAGTAGCCATCTTCTATGTTCTCAACAAGGGCAATCGATTAAAGTTTCATGAAGTTAGACGCTCTGAAGAAGTCGGAAAGACTGATGACCCAAACTATTATCTTTATCACAGAATGCTGGGATATTCAAAGAAGAACTGCTACATCCTCAAGGATAAAATTTAGACCTTTGTCGAGTTAAGTATTGTCCAGCTCAAATCTGAGTAGAAGAAAGTCACTGCCAATATAGTGACCCTCCAATTTGTCTCCATGCCGAAAATCCAAGACCAAGATTTATGTGAGTGTACACACACACACACACACACACATTGTCCACATTCCTATTGCGAGGATGGAAGTGGTCAACTATGACCAATAAAATCGACAAAGGCAAGTCTTAATCCCTCTCACTACAACAAAAGGAGAAATGATTTGGGTACATCCGTATCTTCTCCAAGATGAGCATTAGACTCTTTAGAAGCCCAAGACCAAGCGCAAGATGAAATCTTGCAATGCCATCTCGGCAATCATTGGGGAGGCATCTCTACAAGTAACCTCGCTCACTGATACAGAGGAAGAAAAGATTGTCATAACAAGCACATGGTCTGGCTGAGATTATTTAAAGAATTATGACTAGCCAGGGTCTTCCAAACAACCCAAACCGATCCAAGCAAAAGGAGACTCAATTTGGGAAGGCATTGCAATGTCCCTCAGATGGTCCCAAAGCCCTGTTCTAGTATGACATTATGGCTCAACTACCAGCCATATCCCAGCTCATGTAACCTTATTCTAAATTTATGTTTGTATAAGGAAACGAGAGAAGTTTTAAAAGAAGTTTTGAATGACAATGAGGCATTCCTCACCCACATGATTGAGCCTTCTTCGAATGAAGGGCACAATTAGTGTTATCAGTGCCAACAACAAGCACCTTGTATCACTTTCACCCCAGAAGATATTCTCATCAAAGACCACCATCACAATCGGCCCCTTTACTATATCGGGTATGTAAGGTTGGCAAAGGTCTAAGGGGTTCACATTGATGCAGGCTCTGTATTGAGCATAATTTCACAAAGACTCTTTGAGTTTTTTTGGTATTCCCCTTCACAAACTCTCAAAGACTTTTGCCATCATATTCAGCTCCTACTCCATCCGCAACTGATCTCTTAGGAAGATCCGACTAAAATGTCAGATCAATGATTTGAAGACGGAAGTAACTTGTTATGTCATCAACGTCGAAACACCTTACAACCTTCTCCTTGGATGACAATGAATCGATTCCAACATACTTGTCCCCTCAACACTTTATCAGTATTTAAAATACATTGATGAATAGGGGGTTAAACAAAAGGTTAATACTAAAAGGCATCCCTTCAAGGGGGTAGAGAGTTATTTTATCGACTCTCTCTTATACGATAAAAATCATACAATCAAGATTGTACTTTCCAATGATGAGAACAACGATAATGAAGCAAACATCGAGCCAGATCCCAATGATTACCTAGTTTGAGAGATAGATCCACTTATAATTACCCTAGATGACCAGTCAGTCGAAGATCAGGGGTGACTGGATCTTTAATTAAGAAGAGTTTGCTTATGACTACTCTTTAGGCTCTTGAGTCTGTAAACTCAAGGGTCAAACTCTAATGTCTAAGCTAGCTTAAGAATCGGCATTGTACATACGAATAAGCAAGTCGTAACTCATAAGCAACTAGATCACTCGGAAAATATCACTTTCATGGTTCAACCTAAAAGTGGTGCCCTAAATCGGATTAGCTTTGGAAAAGCTTAGCCACGATTTAACTTCTCAAGTTCAGATGAAGAAGCCAAAGGAGTACTGAGATTCTCCCGATACAACAACAATCTCAGCATATCTATACTACTTCTATAAGAGAAAACATATGTCAAAACTTTTGCATACCCAATTTGCCCTCTTCAAAATTTATAATTCTAATTTTATCCTATATGTATATATATTATCCCTCTATTATTCCCCATCCTCTTTCATAATGCAAATAAATATTATCCCCTTCGTTATCCGCCCTCTCCCCTTCCCCTCTCCCTCTCTCTTTGATAACGGCCAAAATCGAACCGATCTCTCGCCTTCCCCTCTCCCTCTTTCTTTGATAACGCCCAAATCCCTTTATTACCTTCGTTATCGGTGCTTTCCCCTGCCCCTCTCCCTCTCTCCGTCTCTAAATTAAATTGAACTCCTCACTTCAGTTTCCGTCTCCTCACCTACTCTCCCCATCCGTTTTATGTTTCTATAAATACCTTCTGATTCAATTTTGATGGAACAAATAAGGTTTTTTTTCCAATTGTATTATAAGTATGGATATTTGTTATTCTTATTACCTTCTTGTAATTTCTTATTCAAGTTCTTAGTTTGATTGTTTGATGGATTACCTTTATTTTTGGTAGTGATTGATTGTTGATTGTTGTTGTTAGGTGTCTGATATTGATTGGAGGAGTAGAAAGCTATCAAAGGTAAATTAATTTTTTATTTTATCTTTATGATTTTCCTCTTACAATTCTAACATTTTGTAATGTATTTTTAGTGATATGTGTTGTATATGATTAAGCTGCTATTGTGTTTGGGTTTACTTCATTTTTTGGAGTTGAATAATTTGATATATGCATTGAGTTTTTATCCCCCGTATGTTTTGTTAAATGGACTATATTTTTTTGTGGGTTCATCATCACTGAGCTTTTTTACCCCGTATGACAAACAATTATCCTCTTTAAAACCATAAGGGAAACTGAGGTGGCTCCCTCTCATTGATTGATGTAACTCTAATTTAAGGAAATCCATTTTAGAGCTTTTCGGAAAGAAATGCAATGAAACTTTTTGTAAAGTTTCTTCAATAATTTCCTCTTTCAGATTTTTTTTAAAAAATGTACCCATATTAAAAGCAGTTAAAAACATGAGGATATATTATTACATCATAACAATTGATTTTAGCTCCATGATTTATCATTAAGAAACAGACAAGCGCTACATAGATTAAATTCATACACAAACAGAAGAATACAGAATAGGTATTGAAGTTGGTGGGTACAAAAGGATAAGACCTAATATATAGTTTAAAAAATACAAATAGACCTTCAATGAACCACATTCTTTAAGGATTCTCATTTTTAAGAAAATGGTCATACTAGACATTTCTCCTTATTCTTATTTTACTACATATACTCAAGTTCCATATATCTTCTTTAACTAACCAAAATATGTTCAACTTCTACCTAAAACATTGAACTTGCCCAATCACAGAGTCTATTACGTCCTATCCACAATTTATTTACTTATTAACACTGACTATTCACTTAAACGGAAGGACAAAAACACTTAGCAGCTACAAAAACACTTTGCATTCAACTACATAACTTTTTGATGGAAAAAGAAAAACTAATATGTTAGAATTGTTTTGCTTCTGCTTGCTTTTCTTCAACTAATATATGTGAAAGGCCTGAAAATTTAGTATATAGAAATTGAGAGCAGTTCATAGATGAAGTAAAAATGCTAGCTTGGTTTTTGTTGTGAATCTGTACCGCAAGGTATCACACGCTTTGATCTTATTTTTTAATACTTGTATCTTGATTCTCAATTGTGTTCAAATATCATAATATCATTTCTTACAATTATAGCATTTTGTAATGTATTTTTAGTGATATCTGTTGAATATGATTAAACTGTTATTGTATTTGGCTTTACTTCATTTTTTTGAGTTGAATAATTTGATATATGCACTGAGTTTTCCCCCCGTATGTTCTGTTAAATGGACTGTAACAGTTTAATCACTAATTTCCCTTTCAGAATTTTTTAAAAATGTTCCCACATTAAAAGCAGTTAAAAACATGAGGATATATTATTACATCATAACAATTGATTTTATCACCATGATTGATACAAATAGACCTTCAATGAACCATATTCTTTAAGGATTCTCACTTTCAAGAAAATTGTCATACTAGATGTTTCTCACTTTGCATTCAACTACATAAATTTTTGATGGAAAAAGAAAAACTAATACATTAGAATTGTTTTGCTTCTGCTTGCTTTTTATGTGAAAGGCCTGAAAATTTAGTATATAGAAATTGAGAGCAGTTCATAAATGAAGTAAAAATGCTAGCTTGGTTTTTGTTGTGAATCTGTACCGCAAGGTATCACACGCTTTGATCTTATTTTTTAATACTTGTATCTTGATTCTCAATTGTGTTCAAATATCATAATATCATTTCATTTATTGGGTCATTTTTTCAAGCGTCAAATGCTAGCCGTGTTAATGTTCAATTAGGAGGTTACATGATTCAGTTTGGATGAAGGCGTTCATACTTTAGATACTCCTCTTTTTTTTCTACATACTTCAAATATTTTGCATGGTGTATTACTACATTACAGTTTGCACTAACCATAGAAATATATATGGAAAGAAATTAATTAACGTTGATGTGATGTGCGTATCTCCCACTCATATCTTGTATAGTTTTTTGCTCTTTCGTTGTTTTATTTTTAAATAAAAACTTTTTACCATGCTTTTTCACATGAATGGTTGATTTTGTCAGTACTAAACTTTGTGGTATGCAATAAAGTTTAAGAGAATTCATAGCTTGATTAACAATAGCATGATAAATGTCATGAAACAAAAGCACAATAGATGGTTGCATGCATGCATGATGTTTATGTTGGAATGAGTGCATTAGAATTTTTTTTGTCTCTGAGTCCTCTTTTGCACACAGGTTCCACATGGACCTTTTAATAAGTTAATATTAAGATCCTTGCTAGATTATGATTTTCTTTAGGAATATTTTTATTTCTTCATGTGATATAAAACTCTGAAAATAGTTTTTTTCACATCTGTAGCAGAATTTGGTTCTCTTCACTCCATTAGACACTTCAATTATAATATTTGTATTTACTTAAACATCTATGTTATTTACTAAATGATAAATAAAAAACTATACAGTGATTCACGGAAGATGAGAGTATTAGTTAAATTTAAAATGAATTATATGAAAGTGTTGCTGACGCTCACGAAGAATTGCATATTATGAGACTAATTTGCTAGCCTGATCCTTGCCTGCAAGCTCATGTTCATAACCCAAGCTTGCCCTTTGTTATACCTAGCCATACGAGTTACAAGGCATAACGACTTATCATTGAGTAATTGCTATATTGGAATATAAATATTTTTTTGTTGGAAATCCTTTTATTGAATGTAATCTTTCAGTTTGAAAATTTTAATTATCATTGAATAATTGCTATATTGGAATATAATTAGTTAAAAGTAACAAATATGAAAGAGTACCAATCATGTCAAAGGGTTCGCGGCAACCAATATGATATCTAAAGTGACAACACTTATATTATAGCTGTATTAATAATTCCTTTTGTGGTTTCATAACAGATGTTGAAACGCACAGCACGCAAATTAGTTCCCAAACCATATGAGTTTAAAACTTTTACTAATACTAAGGCCAAAAAAATTATTGAAATTTCATCAAGTGACGATGAAGACGATCAGAAAAAGATGTTAAATGAGGGTCACTCAACAAACAAGCATGCAATTGGTACTTCAGCTCGACTATATGATGATGAAGAAGAACCATCGATTGAGGAGTATTATGATGATGATGAGGAGGAAAGCTCTTATGAAGTTAACAAAAAAAATGAAGGTTGAGGATTCAGATCCTGATTATGTCCCTAGCAAAAATACTCATACTACTGCTAAAGTTAATGTTTCTATTGCTGCTAAGATCAAGGATGAAGAAGAAGCGGATAAAATGTTTACTGAAGCTATGGGCATTCTAGAAGCAATCTGAAAAATTCGTCAAGAAAAAAAAAAGTTGAGATGAGTCTTAGAAAAATAATTATCAAGTCAATAAAATAAATTTAGGTCTGATTTGTCAATCGTAGTATTGGAAAAGTTTATAAGTTTTTGTTATTTTTATTAGCTTTAATTATGCAACAAAAAGCCTATGTTTGCCTCTTTATCTTTCTTTAACATCGACCTTATGAAGGATATGATTTTGGGTGTTAAATACTTGTGTTCTATTTTGTCTGCTGCATCACTGATATTTCAATTTTATTCATTTATGATTTATGATTATGATTAATGATTTATAATTATGATAAAATATGTTTTTTATATTTTTTTAGCTCACCTTCAGAACTTCACAAATTTTTGGCCGATATATATCAGGGCACATATATCAAGTGCTTCCAACACATGTGCATGTTATGTGATTGTTATAAAGATGTGTATTATGCATGGGAAATATCAGCTGCCATGTTATGTATAAATTATAAGGTACATTGGGATAAGTACTACTACTACAAGGAAATGCAGGGATGGAAAACCTCCAGGAGGAAATGAGAAGTCACTGCTCAATCACTGCATGGCCTTTCTGAACATCCACCGTTTGGAAGATGTCCTCTAGGATTAGATGTACTGGGACTGGTTATGCTGCCATTGCCTACCAAAGGGTCGACATTCACCTCAGAAACTCTCTTCACTTTCTTCTCTTGCACATGTAAAAAAAAAAGGATAAGTAACAAAACAAGCAGTTAAAGACTTTTAACAACAGACTAAGAAATTGCATGTCTTCACACACAAGCGTGTGCATATCTTCACACACATGCGTGCACCTATACACCCACCCATGCACACATGCAGATATTTCCCATGTACCCTTCATGCAAAATACCAGTATAAATAGACAGACCTTTTATTTTACAAGACTTCAGTATAAAATTGACCATTTTCTATGTTGAAAAATTGCATAAATGATGATACTAAGTTCTTTTTTTCTAGGTATAAGGATTAAGAATAACCAACAACTACAGCAAGGAAAGCAATGTACATTTCCTTTTCAAAAGTAATGCTTTATATAGTTTGTATAGTAATTATAACAATAGTTTTATTAGTGCTACAAACTTTATTTTATCTCTCTTTTGAAAAGATTCACAATGTATCATCTACGTGCGTTGGAGATATGCATATGCAACATAACGTTTTACTTTGTAATTTTGATAATGTTAAATCCGAGTAGTAATTAACATTGAAAATTACTATTTATAATGTATCATTTTTTTGTACAGTACGTTTGTGGAGATAACCACATAAGCACTTCTGTATTAATACTAACAGACTGCAATTGACGCTCAAGCATTGACCATAGAGAAATTATGTCACTAAAACACTGAAGAGGTAATGTATTACGAATAGATACATACTACAGTGTGATAAAATCAGCTAGAAGCTTAGAACAACCTCATATGTTATGCAATTTTATGTGTAGTGTTAAGCATGATGTATTATAATGGTGCAGGTTATTTTTAATCATATGTTAGACATTAAATATTGTCCCATATTTCATCTCTACCTCTAACTAACACATTACATGTGCTTTGCTCTGGAACCTTTAGTATTGTTTTATATATAGTAATAATCAGCTAAAAAAGTTCATGTTGTTTTTGCTCCCATGATTGACTTTTTAAAAACCAAAATTATACAACATTTAAGATTAAGTTGATATTAATAAAGTATGAGCTAATGGACAGCAAGCTATTTGACGCCGAACGGCAATATACCCTGTAATAATAATTAAACCAAGAAAACTTATTTTTTATTCCATAAGGTGCTATATACAATATTATAGCTGTAATATTGCATGTTTAGCTTTTGGAACCTTGGGGGTATTTACTAACAAAGATTCTTGTTATGGTTTAGTAATTTATCCACGTTGACCTTTGCTGTAGTGGATAGCTTCTTATGCTCTGAATGCAACCTGCAAGAGCATTCATCTATATAATTGAACCCATGTATGGTTGTACTAACTTTATATTTTCAATATTTTTTCATAATGAAAGATTAAGAACAAGCAAAAACTACAGCAAGGAAAACAAGGTACATTTCCTTTTCAAAATTAATGCTTTATATAGTTCGTATAGTAATTATAACATTAGTTTTATTAGTGTTTAATTACCATGTCAACTTAACTGGATTTAACTATATTATGAAATTTTCCATTGTGTCGATTATTAAAATTACATAATAAATGAATTTATAACATTTAAATTTATTAGATGTATGTACTAGATTAATATGAAAAATAAATTAACGTTCAATTCTTGTGCAGTTAAAATAATATTCTCACAAGTTTGCGTAATTATTGGAAAAATCAAATGGAATCAAATGAAGGTTAGCCGAACTAATTTAATTTTTCTAATGCATCCTCAAGATAATGAATAACAAATAATTCTAATATATTCATATACATTTATCAACAACATCAAAGAAAATCAAAAGAAAAAATTACTACAATGCGCTAACTACTAAGGAAAGAGAAGCTTATATTGGAAGTGTGTGTCAAAATAAGAGAATAAAGAGGACAATGGATAATAGTCAAAATGCAGAAGAGCAGTCAAAGAAAAGATGTGCAAGCTGGCCAGAACGAGCATCCAATTACCAAGTTGAATGTAACAGTGAGCTTTGATAAGTTTAAAAATATAACAATTTAAGTTTTTATAGTATATAAAATTAACTACTAACATATTACAATCATATAGGAACAAATATATCAAGGCCGTCCTGTTCAGAACTACACAAGCTTGGATAGATAGCAAGTTGTATCTATTGTGGAGCAATGAAATTTCAATATGAGAGTCCATCTTTTTGCTGCAATAATGGAGAAACAGCACTTGTGGAACCTCGTATTCCGGGTGAATTATATAACTTGCTAACATTGGATTATAATGAGAGTGTTGAGTTTAGGAGAAACATTAGAGCATATAATAGTGTTTTCTCATTCACTTTATTTGGGGTAGCAATTGATAAAAACTTAGCATCTTTAAGGCATGGAATATACACTTTTAGAGCACAATGTCAGATTTACCATAGTTTGCCTGGATTGATACCACAAAATGATAGACCAAGCTTCTTCCAGTTATATTTTTATGACACAGATAATGAATTGCAAAATATGATGAATGTCATACAAGAAGGGAACTTAGCAGAAAACACAATGAAGACTATAATGAAAATCCTAGAAGACAATCCTTATGCGAAAATTCTACGAAGGGTTAAAGATGTACCAACGTTGAGAAAATTACAAATCTGTATATCTAAGAACACTAACCTTGACCAAATGATTTATAACTTTCCAACAGCAGAGCAAGTGGTAGCAATTTGGGTAGAAGGAAACAATCCCAATGAACAGTTAAATAAAGAGATTATAATACAATAGAACTCTGTGTTTGGGGAGAAAATTGGTTTCTTCATTGAGGTACTCATTACAACTTCAGTCGTTATAATAAAAATACAAAAAGATAGTCTTTTTATAAGACTTTTACACAATGAAAATACACTTGTCATCAAATAGCGCAGAGATTGTTTATCGGTTTTCTGCTTGCGGGGGATCTTGGCCTTTGACGGGGACGTTGATATCCGTAGACCACCAAATGATCAGATCAGATCCAGAGCTTCATCGATTTGCGAAGGAATCAAGAAGCCGAAGCGCTTATCTTGGTAACAGCAAGATAATTACTCTTCTTAAGATCACTGCAACGGGGTAATCTTAAAGGACGAACCGGGTTGCAGATTTAACGCGCTCCTCTTCTTTATGCTGACGAACTTAATCCGATCTCTCCTCCTCCTCTCTGAAATTCGTGGCTCATCAGTCCTCAATTCGGAAGGGCTTCGCCGATACTCAAAAATTCTAGATCTTGAAAAATGAAGGCCCTGGGGCTGTATTTATAGGCTTCAGGAGCCCTATGTTCGGATAAGAACGGTTGATTCCCTCTTATCTTTAGTTGAAACCACTTAACCACGTTCTTAGATAGATTCAGATCAGTTGGAACAAATCCAGGTGGTTAACATAAAAAAATGGTTCAAAACAGCCAAAAACAGTATTCTGGGGGTTGCGGACACTTATGAGTGTCTCGGCGTGGCCGAGACACTTACAAGTGTCTCGGCCAAGCCGAGACACTTTGAAGTGTCTTGGGTATTTTGGCCCTAACTTCCTCATATGAACTCCAAATGACTTGATTCTAGATGCATTAGAAATATGACAAATATATCTATAACTTTTATGTTTTGAGTTTCTTCAGATTCAAATCAGATCATGGCTAAAATCATCATTCTTCTCTAAGACACCAACACTATCTCGGAATTCTGAGGCAGTTTGTACTATCTTTGGTATTTTGGCTTTATCTTTAATATATCTCCAAATGACCTGATCTAAGATGCATTGGAAAGCTAACGAGGAGATATACAACTTTTATTTTTTGAGTTTCTTCAGATTCAAATCGAATCATGGCTAAAACCACTCTAAAATGTCCAAGATACCTTTGGGTGTCTCGACTTGGCCTAGACACTAATGGGTGTCTCGGTCAATCCGAGACACCAATGGGTGTCTCAGCTTGGCCGAGACACCTCTAGCTGTCTCGCTGAGGCCCGGGACGTAGTCCTGCGCGTTCTGTCCGTTTTTGCCATATCTTCGTCGTCCGAACTCAGAATTATGCGGTTCAAGATACGTCAGAAATCCGACAAGGAGATCTATGGGCTCCTATGATTGAATCATATGTGGAGTAAATGAGACATGAGGGGTGCTCCGCCTTTCGTAAATGACACGGGGCTCCCGATCAGTTCGTGTTTCCATTATTCCATAGTTCTGGTGTTTCGTATGGTCCATCGACTCACTCCGTGTATTTGTCATCGTCAAATGAGTTTTTGTGACTCGAATAGAGACGCTCATCATCTTCTCTCTGTCTCGAGCCGCGTGCGGGGACCTATAGGTAATTTTTTAATGCCTACAGATACCCCCTCCAAAGTGTTTCATTCTCATTTCTTTTATAGATGAGACTGAAATACTTTACATATGATCGGTCCAACCTTCACTCAGCATAAAAGAACCTGTAGTTAGCTTTGATTATTGACTCCTTCAATTTTCAACCTATTCGATGTTTTGACGAATAGCTAAAGTTCTCCCGGCGCTGCGTTTATCGTATGGTCGTCATCGAAATCTTGAATCAAAATCGGTGAGTTGATTTTGGCTCGTATCGTCGAGTTGACTTTGAACTGACTATTTCCATCACGATATATTGACTCGTATTAACTTTTATCACAATGCGTTGACTGGCGTTGACCTAGGGTTACGTGTTGACCGACGTTAACCTAGGGTTTCGAATCCCCTGGTGTTGACTTTTTTATCGCAACGCGTTGACTGGCGTTGGCCTAGGGTTACGTGTTGACCGACGTTGGCCTAGGATTTCGGATCGTCCAACGTAACATAGTTTATACTCGTACGTTTGCTGAAGTATACACAG